GTTATGTGCAGATCGGACCTCCGCTTCTCAAGATACGGCCAGGTAGGCTTTGGCCAATCAGATCGCATATGCTAATGAGGTTGGAATTAATGAGGGTCGAATTCGTTTTTCTCTATATACCTAGTTGCAATTAACCCCGGACTAGCCCCTAACCCTAACCTTAGCCCTAGCCTCACTAACCAATAGCCTTAACCCCTGACACACCAAATTTAAGTTTTGTGTAAATGAAGATTTTGTGGGTCTGAGGCTAGCAGTTTTAATCAAATTCTCTATCTATCTATCTAGACGACGAACCTAAGCCTCTCTGGGATTGAAGTCACAGGGTCCTTGAGGTCCGGACCCGAGAAACACTCTTCTTTCCTAGCCGCTCAATCGGCAGAACCCACTCCGGGATTTAACCCAAACTTTACAGACCCATCCTTGACAAACCTAACCGAAACTTAACAGCCCTGGCCTCAACAGCCCCATGTTTAGGCCTTAATAATAAAATGACTGTGGCCTGCCTTGGTATTTGGGGGAGATCAGCGGTGAGATGGACAGTTGCACAACCCAGTTTGGGACCCTCGGGTCCGAGCCTGGGAAATACTTATCTTTCCGGACCTTCTCTTCACCAGATACGGCCAGGCCAACTTTAAGCCTGCTATCCCCAGACTCACAAAATCTTCATTAACGCAAAACTTAATCAAATTCTGTACAGAAATAGCATCAAACTCATCAATCTGTCTATCTATCTATCCATATCTATCAACAGGGCATTTTTTTGTTATCCTGTGGCTCTCTCTAGTGGGCAACCTTAGTATGACAGCTTTCATTTCTTCAGGGTATATAGATGATACATAATTTGGGTTAAGTTAACTGGACAAATGATCTAGAAGGACTTTGATAAAGTAGGTTTAACAGAAAACTCAAAAAGGTGTTATAATTGTATGCATTGCAAAAAAATGGATATTTATATTGAATTTATAATAATAAAAACCAACACAAACGCTGTAGGCAGTGCAAGGCAAGTTTCTTCATATAGCACATTTCATACAGAATGGTAATTCAAAGTGGTTTACATAAAGGAAAAGAAAACAATTATAACAAAATAATCACAACAATAAAACAAGGAATTTTAAAACTTTGAAAATGATTTAAGAAGATTAAAATGAATTTAAAACCGTTAAGGACAGAAAATGATTATACAGTACATAAAATATAGTGAAATCAGTTAGGACAATGCACGGTGTTCATTCAATAAATGTGCAGCTAAACCGATGAGTTTTGAGTCTGCATTTAAATGGGGCTAATGTTTTAGCACATCTGATCTCTTCTGGAAGCTGGTTCCAACTGCGGGCGGCATAATAACTAAAAGCGGACTCCCCTTATTTTGTGTGAACCCTTGGTATTTCTAACTGACTCGATCCTAATGATCTGAGTGGTCTGTTAGGTTTATATTCAGTGAACATATCTGCTATGTATTTAGGTCCTAGGCCATTGAGTGATTTATAAATGATTAAAAGTACTAACGGCCTTCTCGACCAAATGGTTGAGCACATTTTGAGTCACTATATTTTATTGAGAGGAGTACCTAACTTAACTTAACCTGATTGAGCCATCTCTACCATCTGGTTGAGGTATGTTATGCCAAAAAAATCTACTAGATGTCAGAGTGTCAGTCAATCAACAGCACTTGTCACAACACTTCTTCTAACATGGATGTCAGAAACAAAGAAATCACTCCTGCCATGTGAACTGTTCTTGGTGAAATTTGGCAAGGTAAGCATATTTTTTTGACATATTACACTGTAAGAGCCTTAACTTTACAAAATGATGTTACTTGGTGCCATGAAAAAACTTTAGTATGTTTTTAATAATTGTTCAAAAACGTGCTCGACCAAACGGTTGATTTGTCACTTTATGGTAAATGTAGAAAAGCTAAGCTAATGTTTTCAGATCATCCATTTCTGCAGTCAGAATGGACTATTTGCTGAGAAATATAAACTTCTGATCATTCATAGCTATGAATATGACACAGCTATTGTTATTTCTTCATGAATATACTGAGATCGTTTCTTAAGTATGTATTTTTTTGCCACTTTTGGATGTTTTTTGAAGTAAATATAGTGAATTCACAGAATTAATGTGTGGAAATCATAATTATCAGAGGCAATTACTTGTGTTATTTATTACTTAAATGACAAATGCCGGTGTACTAACATTACTGAGATTGTAAGAGATTATTTATTTGTTTGTTGTTGTTGTTTTACAATTACTAGATGGATGTCAACCGTTTCTATTGTACAAGAATGCGCACTCTTCAGGCCCTTGTATCAGAAAACCCCCAAGACTCTGACGCTGATCTCGGTGACGTTGATGACCCAATAGAGCAGTGGTTCTCAAACCTGTCCTGGAGTACCTCCAGCCCTGCACATTTTGTGTCTCCCTCATCAATCACACCTGATTCAACTCATCAGCTCATTATTGGAGACTGCAAGACCTGAAGTGGGTGTGTCAGATAGAGGGAGACATACAAAATGTGCAGAGCTGGGGGTACTTCATGGAGAGGTTTGAGAACCACTGCAATAGAGGATCCGGATTATCACCCCGTCCGAAAAGAGGTAGCTGGTGACAGTTCTTTTGAGTCCCTGGATGAAGATGATGCTCCCTCAACGAGCACATCCTCTACAATGCTTCCATGTAAGAAAAGAAGAAAAGGAATACACACTCTAAAAACGGTTTCCTTGAAGGAGCCAGAGGATAGCTACACTACACAGCATTGCTGGTTTACAAAGAAATGTTAATTTATCAAAAAAAAGAATGAAAAAAAAACCCATTTCACTATCCCCCTTGAC